ACCATGACCTGGATAAATGAGAACCTTCACAGACTCTGACAATGGGATTCAGCAGAGATCATCAGTTTTCCCTGCACATTTATTAACTGCTATACCCTCAAAGTGTGCCATATAATTAGAATTGGAAGGGAATGTAGAATTACTGGTAAAAAATGTTTTTTAGGTTTCTTAAGCAGGCCATAGAGCGTTCAACTCCTGAATTCATGCTGGGTCAGGTGATAACCTCTTGCCTATAAGCACCAGCCCCATTCTATTGAATCATCAGGCAGAAGCTTACAGTATCTCTCAAGATAAGATGGGCATGGACCTCTAATGTTCTCTCTCTCTATTCCAGAGGCAGAAATGCATATTTAAGGCCAAAGCTGATGAAAAACTCCTCGCAATGGATATGTTGTCTCTATATCCACCAATCCTTTGAGGTTCTTGGCCACCTTTACTCTGGGTAACTTTTCAGAGGTGCCTCCACTAACTAAACTAATCAGTGAATTCTTAAATATTACTGATGGAACTGCTCAAATTATGCAAACACATAATTATACCAAAATATGAATATTAGAATTATCAGTTTTGGATATACAAGTAGACAATAAACTAACTAAATTAAAAGCTATAATAATTCTATGTAATCCAAATTGTACAAACTGAAACAAATTTATGGAGCTATGGACATGTTTAATAGAATAGTCTAGCGCGTTTGTGACCATGTTTGAAGGATACACCTATATTTAAGGTCACATCTGCCCCCCTAGCTTACCCGAATCACAGTTCTTCTCCCCACAGGCTTGTTTACTTTTGGATTTGGCCTGACTGTGCATGGCTCTGCTCGCACAGCCATGTCAGCCAGTCCCAAGATCTGTGAATGGATAGATCTCAATGGAGCACAAGTGCAGTGACGTCACTTCCTCTAGACCAAAACCAGGACCTTCATATGGACCTTGGGCTGAAGGAACAGTGTAGGATCCTGGGCAATGTAATGATCCATTGGTCGTGGTTACTATAGTTTTCAGACTCCAATGCAAAAAATGTACGTTATTCTTTCAACAACATGTGTGCATTTTAGACATGTGCACAGCATAAAAATGGAATGAAAAATAAAAGCGAGGCAACAAACCTCTGAGACCGCACATTTAAAGAGCAGAACACGCAGTGGCCATATCAGCTATGGCGCGTTCCGTGCATGCACGGCGCCATCTTGGAGGCGGAGCACATTATGTCAGGTAACGTCACCCGCATGTATGGATGCCGCCATCTTGGTGACATCATATGCTCCACCTCCAAGATAGAGGCACCCATGCGCATAATGCGCCCGTGCCTGATATGGCCATTGCGCATTCTGCAAACGAATTGTTATATGCCCAAATATATTTTTCGTACATTCAGGCATATAATTCATTAATTTGGACGAAGTTCACCCGAATTCGAATGCACGTGTCTAGTGCATTTCTTAATTTCCCCCAAACAATGGACTAATGCCTTTAAAATTCATTTGAGTAATGTTCATAATGAATGAATAGTTAGGATGACTGACGTGGAAATGCTCCTGGACTGTAGAAATACCTATCTGTTTAAGAGGGCTTTAATCTACTCATTACAGGCTACTACATCGTGTTAAACACTGAAATCCTCCTGAATGGGAGCAGATTATTCACATTTTTAGTGACCAGGATTTTACTAAAATATGTATTATAAACAAAAATATTAAGAGAAGTGACCTTTTAAAGCAAACATGTATTGGCATAAAAGTTTGTTCTCTTCCATGCTGGCACCTTGAACTAGCTTTCTTTTAGGCCATCCTCCTAAGCCCATGGTGCTCAGGTATGTATGTATAGACTTTAGGCAGGAAGTCAGTGCTGGACCTGGGGCCACTTCCTGCATCCACTTCCACCTGACAGGTCCATCATTGTAAGGGTGGCATCACCAACCAATTAAGAGGTACAGGAAGAAGCCAAGTGAATACTCCTCTGAAATTATTATTGCATTAGAGTGCTTTAGGGTTCCCCAGGAGCTCTAGAAGTAAACTAACATGAAGTTCCTATTACTTTGTTGCAGGTCACAAACATATGCCACTGCAGGTAAACAAAGCCAAATCATATCTGCATGAAAGCAGATTATCTTAGCCAACAATTAATGATATGATAGCGCATATTTCAGAAAATATATGCTTTTGAAGACTGTTATTAAATGTGAATATTATCTAATAGCACAAAAGGAGTGTGCTACAATATATGTGAGCATACTGCAATATTATTTTCAGTTGGTTCTGTGTGAAACGTAAAATATCCAAAGCCATTCTGTGTCTCCACACAGAGATACCAGCAATTTCTAAAATGTATTGTAAATCATCAGTATGTGCCTTGTATTGTAACTGTTACTGTAAAAATAATGCCATAATAAATATATCTCCATAGTTCTCAGGTGTGCTGAACTTTTCTTAGCTTATTCTGAGGTGTTTGTTCTGTGTTGGTTAAGTTGTAGGTCAGCAACCTAAGTGGAGTACGGTTTGTTGACTAGTTGTTTGGAGTTGTCCTTGAATTGTGAAAGATATTACCCTCCTTGGCGGTATTCCCAAGTATGGCACTGGGTTAATTTTCTTTACCATAAGCGGTAACCCCGAGCCACACCTGGGAATACACACGTCTCTTACCTTGTCCCTGGAGCCTTGTCTCGGTGTCCTCCGGCCGATGCCGGCATCCGTCCCTTGCGAGCGTCCGCATCGCAGGGGCGGCGGGAGATTCAAAAGCCTGCTCTGAGCAGAAATTCTAAAGACTTAAGAGCGCTCCAGAAACTTGTCATCTCAGTTCGGCTAAGCGGATACCTTTACCTATATGGCTAAGGGATAGGACAAGAGAAAGTGCTGTAGGCACCATCAGTGGGGGGAATATTAACAATAGACATGTTTATAATCTATCCAATCTGCAGTCCCTATGGCAGGTTCAGGCCACTTTTGGGGGCACCTCATGAGATGGCCTAGGTGGATCGTTAGTGCCAGTTATGGCAAGCTGCTTCATATTTATGGGCATTACTGAAGATAAACATGAACAGTCTGATAGAGTCTGTGAGTCATAAGTACTGTCATGTTTATTGTCCTATGCCACATGCCATGCTTCCAGTTCCTGAATGAGCAAAGTACAATTCCGGATATAAATGAAAGTGAAGCTGCACACAAAATACAAATGTGATCTGTAACATTATATTTATTGATACTAAAACTGCATTAAGAAAAAAGGGTCATTGATTGCACCAATTGCACAGACCTCAATGTATTTTACATGTAGTTTCACATAAATCCAACCACCTGTAAAAAGAATAAGAATAAATGGGGCTCAAACACAGTGGAACTTTACAAATACTGAACAATATCAATATAATAAATGAAATCAGGTCAGCAAAATGCAAACTACAGATGTACTTCTACACCAGCTTACAGCAATGGTTACTAGTTGGCTGCTTCCAGATTCCAAAGTAACATCTGTATAGCATACATTTGATATCACTGTAAACAAAGAATACAGTTGCATCGCTCCCGCGATGGGCTCTCCCTGTGCTCCCTCTCTGACCTCTCCCTGTGCACCCTCTCTGACCTCTCCCTGTGCACCCTCTCTGACCTCTCCCCACATTCACTATGTGACAAAGAATTAGCAGTTTTAGCAGGTTATATTCCCTCATAACGCTCTCCATTTTTAGCCATGTCAGTGGTCGTATATATATGTCCTATATACTTCCATTCTGTCATATGCAATATCTATTTCAATTGGCCAAAAAAAAGACAACACGCCAGTTCCAACCAATGTTTACTTCAGCAATTCTGTATACAAATTCTCAAAACAAAACCTCAATAGTGGAGAATATATTAAGAAATCATATCATCACATTAAAATCCTTATTTAGCACTCCTGCCAGAGAAATGCGCTGATATGAAAACTTATTAACACACCCCCTCCCGATTTATTCCCTATGGCAGGTTCAGGCCACTTTTGGGGGCACCTCATGAGATGGCCTAGGTGGATCGTTAGTGCCAGTTATGGCAAGCTGCTTCATATTTATGGGCATTACTGAAGATAAACATGAACAGTCTGATAGAGTCTGTGAGTCATAAGTACTGTCATGTTTATTGTCCTATGCCACATGCCATGCTTCCAGTTCCTGAATGAGCAAAGTACAATTCCGGATATAAATGAAAGTGAAGCTGCACACAAAATACAAATGTGATCTGTAACATTATATTTATTGATACTAAAACTGCATTAAGAAAAAAGGGTCATTGATTGCACCAATTGCACAGACCTCAATGTATTTTACATGTAGTTTCACATAAATCCAACCACCTGTAAAAAGAATAAGAATAAATGGGGCTCAAACACAGTGGAACTTTACAAATACTGAACAATATCAATATAATAAATGAAATCAGGTCAGCAAAATGCAAACTACAGATGTACTTCTACACCAGCTTACAGCAATGGTTACTAGTTGGCTGCTTCCAGATTCCAAAGTAACATCTGTATAGCATACATTTGATATCACTGTAAACAAAGAATACAGTTGCATCGCTCCCGCGATGGGCTCTCCCTGTGCTCCCTCTCTGACCTCTCCCTGTGCACCCTCTCTGACCTCTCCCTGTGCACCCTCTCTGACCTCTCCCCACATTCACTATGTGACAAAGAATTAGCAGTTTTAGCAGGTTATATTCCCTCATAACGCTCTCCATTTTTAGCCATGTCAGTGGTCGTATATATATGTCCTATATACTTCCATTCTGTCATATGCAATATCTATTTCAATTGGCCAAAAAAAAGACAACACGCCAGTTCCAACCAATGTTTACTTCAGCAATTCTGTATACAAATTCTCAAAACAAAACCTCAATAGTGGAGAATATATTAAGAAATCATATCATCACATTAAAATCCTTATTTAGCACTCCTGCCAGAGAAATGCGCTGATATGAAAACTTATTAACACACCACCTCCCGATTTAATTGTAAAGGTAAGGCCATGAGATATTCTTAAATGACCAAACGAATCTTGCTAATCCTCCTCTTTCTCCACATAGGCTTTGGTGCTTACCCGAGCCATTTGTCGTGCCATGTATCGGTCCCTGGCCGATACCACAGTCTCTTCATTACTGCGCTTTGCAAACTTATTGGCTGAGGTATTATTCACATTTTCGGTTTCTGTCGCATCACTCTTGGAATCAATTTTAAGTGGAATTTCAGACGGTGATGAACTTCTCTTTTTACTAATTTCACTGTGCTTTATATCCTTAGCTTCTATGTCCTCTGGATCTGACTTCTCTCTGTCTGGTCCCTCGCCACGCTCCCTGTCTGGTCTCTCGCCATGTTCCCTGTCTGGTCCCTCGCCACGCTCTCTGTCTGGTCTCTCGCCACGCTCTCTGTCTGGTTTTCCACTACGCTCCCTGTCCGATCTCTCACCACGCTCCCTGTCTGTCCTCTCTCTACGCTCCCTCTCCCCACGTTCTCTGTCTGGCCTCTCCTTATACTCCCTCTCTGACCTCTCCCCACGCTGCCTCTCTGATCTCTCCCCACGTTCATTATAAAACCTATCTTTGTTATCTCTCTCTAACCTATCTCTGTCTGACCTTCTTCCATAATCTCTCTCCATTTTTTCTCCTCGTTCTCTGTCCAGCTTGTGCTCATACGGTCTCTCTGACCGATCTTTGAAGTCTTTTTCTGACCTGTCATCATATTCTTTGTGTCTGTATTCTTTAACATTCCTGTCTCTTCCCTTTGCTCGTTCTCTTTCATTATAAAAATCAAACTCTTCTTTTCTATGCCTATCATCATCTCTTCTTCCGTCTTTGCTACTTTTAAGTTCTCTCTTTTCTATAGCTCTTAGCTTTGAATCTGACTCTTCCCTCTTCCTGTGTCTATCTTTGTCACTATGTTCCCCATACTTTGATCTTTCATCAAACTCTTCCTGCCAGTCTCTGCCATAATCCTGATGGGATTTGTCTTTGTCAGGCCCACTTGCTTCAGTCTTAGATCTGTCCTTTCCCTTATGGTTATTTTGTTCTTCGCTGGATGAACTAGACTGTCTCTGTTTCCGATAGGTCTTTCCACCTTTCTTGAGATTCTCAGATTTGATTGGAGGCTTTTTATCTGCGGTGTCCTCTTCCTCACTAGACTCCGTGCCCAAATCACTATCGGCATCAATGTTTTCTTCCTTGCTGCTGTTGTCTACTTCATCTGGATAGCCCTTTGGCTTCTCCTCTTTTACTCTAAACATGGAGGGTAAGAAACAAATTAATTGTGGATTGTTCAGTAAACTTCATACCTACAGTATGAACAAGGTTAGTATTAAATGTACAGAAAAGAAGAACCCAACATTTTCTCTGAAATAACTTGAAACTGACCAAAGTAATTGGGATGCATCATTGTTCATACAATATTTAATACAAATCAGACTTTTGATTTTTAATTTAAATAGATTATTTTAAATAAGAAACAAATAAAAATGGCATGGGCAAAAATTGATGGAACCCTAATCTAATTTTTTTTGTCGCAAACCTGTAAAGGCAATCACTGCAAACCAGCAAATTCTGTAGCCCACATTCAGACTTAGGCACCTACCAACAGGTAGTCTGGCCCAATCTTCTTGAAAAAACTTCTCCAGCTGTCTCAGGTTTGAAGAGTGCCTTCTCTAGACTGAATGTTTCAGCTTCTTTTAATAGGATTCAGATAAGGGATCATAGAAGGTCATATCAGAATAGTTCAATATGTTGCTCTTATCTGTATGTTTTAAGTCATTAACCTGTTGAAGGACCCATTACCTGCAACTGAGACAGAGCTTTCTGACACTGGGCAGTATGCATCACTTCAAAATTCCTTGATAGCCTTGAGATTTCATTGTGCCCTGCACAGATTCAAGACACTCTGTGCCAGATGCAGCAAAGCCAAAAAGCCAATTTTGTCTCATCTGTCCAAAGAAACATTGTGGTTTGTCAGCATGCATTTTACCAAATTCCAGACTGGCTTTTTTATGTTGTTCTTTCAACAGTGGAGTCATCCTGGGTCTTCTTCCTTTTGAGCCCACTGCCGGTCAAAAGGTGATGAATGTTGCGATTAGACAATGACCCTGACCTGACCTTGGAGTTAAGCTTGTATCCCTTTAGAAGTATTCCCTGGCTTTTTTGTCTACCAATCATAATGTCCTTCTGTTCAATCTTGGGTGGATTTTCTTCTTGCAGCCACATCCAGGGAGGTTGGCTACACTCCCATGGACCTTAAACCTCTTAATTATATTTGCAACTGTAGTCATGAGAACATAAAAATGTCTTTACCATCTCCCCAAACAACTCTCCTTTGCTTTCTCTGGTCCATGTTCAGTGTTGTGCACATAAGACCAAAGTGACTACTTTTCGCCATTTAAATAGGCTGATTGACGAATTACAAGATTGACATGTGTGATACGCCCCTGGTAGTAACTAGAAATCACAGGGCCCCATAGCAAAGTTTTGTATGGGGCCCTGTGATTTCTAGTTACACCCCTTGAAGAGCCCACTTGTGGTCCCACACAGCTCACCTGAGGGTGACCCTGCAGAGCCCACCATAGACTGTCTATGGTGGGCTCTGCAGGGTCACCCTCAGGTGGGCTGGTCGCACTCCTTACCTGTCCGCCTCTTCTTCCTCCGTCTTCCCTCCTCCGTCGCAGGGCCTGCCTCCTCCTCCGTCACCGGCCCCACCTCCTCTGTTGCTGACCCCCCCGGGCCCGCCTCCTCCTCCCCCTGCCAGATCCAGCCTCCTCCACCGCGGCCGCTGGCTCTCATTGACTCAGCAGCAGCTGTGGAGACGAACGCAGCGCTGCACAGATTATCGACAGTGATCTGAACAGCGGCGCGTTCGAAGCCATAGCAACACAGGCGGCCCGCGCGGCATCAGGGGAGTGTCCTGGACGGGCCCCCCTGTGCCCGGGCCCCATAGCCGCCGCCTGGGTTGCTATGGCGATTGTTACGCCACTGGATACTACATAAAACAGCTCATTTGAAATCTAACTATGATTTATAATCTATTCTGGGGGCACCAACAAATCTGTTCAGGCTATTTTAAATATCCTTGTAGAGTAAGCAATAATTTATCACTTTTCACACTTTCTTGCTGAACTCTATAACGCAGGTATACAAGAAACAATTGCTCTGATATTAATCACTGTTCAGGAGGAATGAGGCATTGTTTCATTGAGCTGTAAGAGTAGCAACTAGTTTGTCCATGTCTATATATCTGCCTAAATGTTTAATAAATATGGATTGTTAGTGCAGATGAAATGCTGCCACTTTAAGAAACACATATCTACAGTCATGCTTTCTTCACGAAAGCTTCTCCAGCTTACCAGAACTAAAGAAAATAGGAATGTAAACTATGGTGCTGAAAAGAGAAGTATTTGTATGTGCAGCTTTTTAGTAAATTTGCATATACCGTGTTTCCCCGAAAATAAGACACTGTCTTATATTCTTTTAGCCCCCAAAAACCACACTAGGTCTTATTTTCAGGGATGTCTTATTTTTTTTTTTTTAAAGTGCACCAAAATGTACAACAATCTAAAGTTATCTGGTATCACTCCGCCTGTCACAGTAACTGGCGCTATAGAGGAAGTATCGGCTAATGCGGCTCTGCTCCCTCCGCCGCTGCAGCCTTGCTATTTACAGCGCCGGCTTCCTTTGCCACCAGGGACAGTGGTAGCAGTGGGGACATCAGACAGTGGACAGCGCGGTAAAGTACTGTACCATTTACCGGTACACATTACAGTACAGTACCATTACATTAAGCAGTGCCTTCAGGGGGACAGCAGTTGGTGAAGTATTGTACTGGAGTGCTCGCTGTCACTGCACTGGCCAGAGGGAGACCCCTGTCATCCTCTTAATACAGTATGTCCTTGCAGGCTGATACCATCTCTCCTGCTCTTCAAGTTCCCCCTCACATGCTACCACCAAACTAGGTCTTATTTTCGTGGTAGGTCTTATATTACAGGAATCTTGAAAAATAGTGCTAGGTCTTACTTTCGGGGTAGGTCTTATTTTCGGGGAAACAGGGTATAAGTTGATTCTTCAAAACTGAAACTGGGTTTCAAACCATTTTACCGACAAACTCCACAGACCTAACGCTTGTGACTGTGTGAAGAGTCTCAACTCCTTTAGTAAATTAGCCTCATATCACCACATCTGACCAGGTCTTGCTTGTTTCCATTTTTATTTGTGTAGCTGCAGGAGACTTCTGCTGCAGGGCCTATTTGTGCCAATGTAAAGAGCAAGAGACTTACAGCAATTCTTACCCTGTATCTCTCAAGCTGCATTCTGGAGCCTTTTCTTCTCCAACAGTCTGATTTAATAGATGTCTGTAAAATCCACTCAGGTCTTTTTGTTTGGTAACATCAAGAGAAGCTAAAGCAATGACAGATGTGAAGACAAACATTATTGGTCATTTCTTTTACAAACCACAAAATGCAACTCCCAGCACTCTGCAAGCAAACATTTTAAAGGCAGATCTCACTTGCACCATGGTAAAGAAACCCAGAGCCTTTCAAAACATGGGACTGCTGGTTCTGTCATAATAAAAGATTGTCCACTTGACAGGTAAAAGGAAACTATAATAATTTAAGGTCAATATATGTTTACGCGTATAAGTTTGTAAACTGATATTCTCTATATGTGTAGTATGTTAACAGATTTTGTATGTTTACGTATGTGAATCTTTACTATGGGTGCAAAAGCCACGTCCAGTGCAAAGAAGACTCTTGTTTATGGGCCCGGTAGTCACAAGTGTTCTGTCAAACCGCAAAAAACTTTAAAAAAATCAACATGAAGCAGCTGTACGCATATTACCCTGCATCTGAGTGTATACATGGGCACAAGCGCAAATGCACGGAACTGACCGCAGACAGACTGCATCCAGGGCTTAGCATCCATCCCTGTATGCATGTATACATTCGGGTGTGTGGGAAGATCTGTACAGCAACTGTGTGTGTCAGCCTATCATTGGTGTTTAACACACCGCTGGCTGTGGCTACATGGGAAACCTGTGACTCTACTCATCATTTCTACTACTATTTTACCATTTTTTACCCAAATTCTGATCTACCTCCTTTCCTCTGAAGTAACTTTATAACGGGCGACCATTAATTACCATTAGTTTACCATTCCTGGTGTGCTTCTGAGTCATGACCATGATTCAGCTCTAGTGCCACTAGTGGTAATTCCCAATATGGGGCATAGAGCACTATAACTGGCTGTGTTATGCAATGGGCATAGGAGAGAATATAGAGCGTGCGCAACAAGGCATACTCATTTCTTTTATTTTTGGCATTTACTCATGAAGAGACTGGGCAGTCTTTAAATATCACGTGTACAATGTTATATGTTCTACAATTTTAATTTTAAACATATGCCCAATATAGTGTGAAAATGAAAACAGATGACGAGGCTTAATCTCTTTCAGTACTGTGAATATTTAAAGAAAGATGCTAATGAGACAAAATGTAATTATCTTTTCAATAACTATGTAAGCTTTTTAAAAGCCCAACATAAGACATGCAGCAAACATAAATCATGATAGCACCCCAGACCTATACCAAATATCAATGGTAATTTTAGATAGTGGGTTGTAAGGGAGACAAATTATTTTTTGGTCTCACGGAAGCCGACACTCCGGTCTTCTCCCCTTCCGGTCTAGAATGTGGGCGGACCCTCCACATGATCACAAACAATGCATGACCACTGGTCCTGCATTTTACATGATGATGCTGGCAAGGGGGCAGCTACATGACCAGAGAGAAGAAGCTTCAAGGGGATTCGAGATTAAACAAGCAGTATATTAATTATTTGAGGAAGGGCTATCTGGAGCAACACTTCAAGAATCTTGATATTCTCCTGATATTTAGCATATATTAAAGATTAAAGGGGTTTACCTCTCTTGAAATACATATTTCATTTTTCAAACTTGAGATCTAAAATACCCCAAAGAGGAAAAGGAATAAAAAGCGGCCACCTTCCAATTCAGCCTCTCTTTTTTCCAGCTCTTCTTCTTCAGCCTTCTCTTGCAGCTTTTTCTTGTAGGCAGTCGTCACAAACGCCTCTTTATCCTTAAATTCGTCTCCTTCCAGCTCACGTTCTTTCTGAATCTTTTTCTCCATCCGCTTTTCCTGTTCCTTCTTCCTCACTTCAACAGCTTGTAAGATATTTTGGATATACTTGGGCTAAATGAAAAAGAAATATAACAGCAAACTGAAAAGAAATGCTTAAAGTTTGTCACTTACCGTACTCATTTTTAATCAGTTCAGCTCTCACATATGTAAACGTTTTATGGACCAGAGATACTTCCAAAAAAGTAAGTTTCTTGGACTCCTCTTTGTCCCCTGCCGCCACACTCCATAGTG